TGGTGACTTTTCTCTATTAAAAAAACTCCACATGCTAAATGGATTCTGTTCGAATACTGGAAGGCTGGTTATTAAAAGAACTGGAAACAAGTTCTGGGTATTATTTGAAATCTTTTGACACTATTGGCGTACAATTTTACTGTAGTTTGAGGAATTAATATGTTTTTATTTACAATCATTCATTCATTTTCTGTAACTGCTTATCCTGTTGGGGGTGGACTGCACTGGGCGAAAGGTGGGGTACACCCTGGACAGGTCACCAGACTATCACAGGACTGACACATAGAGACAGACAACCATTCACACTCACATTCACACCTACGGGCAATTTAGAGTCACTAATTAACCTGCATGTGTTCGGACTGTGGGAGGAAGCCGGAGTACCTGGAGAAAACCCACACTGACACTGGGAGAACATGCAAACTCTGCACAGAAGGGCTCCCCCATCTTATGGTACAAACACCCCAACCCTGGGTTCTTGCCATGAGGCGACAATGCTAACCAATGCACCACCATGCCGCCAATGATGCCAAACTTCTCAGTGCATTACTGTAGTTTTAACACAAGCAGCCACACAAGCACTTTGCCTGAATATAATGTTTTTCTGATTCCCCGTTTTAGAACAGGAAATATCAGACCAGAAAATAAGAGTACAAGTTTTTGATACTTAATTCTCACGTTAGCTGGTACTCAAAAACAACTGATATTCCATTGAAAACCCTAAAGGTTACTGATGGTGTTCATAACTTCACTGAATTTTTACTTTGAAGCTGTGGCAAAGACTTTTCTTTCTTTTTATGATTGTATTGCAGCAAGTGTCTTTCCACAGATATCAGCTGTACACTTCAATTAATGTAATATCTCTTTCTAAAGGCTGATGTTAGCTCTGATGAAAGTTCATAATCTCATTATATTATATGGTTGATAAGCAGATGCAACTTTGTTGTCCGTTGTCACTGGCTTTACGACACCAATGCTGTGTGTCAACAATCTGCAGCTGATGTTATTCAACTGTTCAATCATTAAAGCAACAGTTCACCCCGAATTGAAAAACTCATCAGCAATGACTCTTGTTACTCAAGATAATCTACAGACCTTGTTGTGAGCAGTTTCATGTAGGAACTATTTTCTTTCTGCCAAAATACACTCGGCAACCGTATCACTGCACAGAAGGAAAAGTGCATCTACTCATGGACAACATGCTTGTGCTGGTGACAACATGAGATACAAACATTAATGGCGTCCTCCTCAACTGAGCTGTAACGTTAGCTAGCTCAGTGGTGCTACGTGAGCTAGCTGCAGATGCACGCTTCTTTCTGTGCAGTGACACAGTAGGCGGGTGTAGTTTGGTAGAAAGGAAACAGTTCCAACATGAAACTGCTCAAAACAAAGTCTGTGGATTATCTTGAGTGACCAGCTCATGATTTCTGGAAAGACACATTGCTGTTGAGTTTTTCAAATGTATTTTTTGGCACTTTGAGCACCATAAACCGAGTGCCATCTAGTTCCATTATATTGGAGAGAGGGCAAACATCTCTACGGCCAATATCTCCAACACTCTGCAACTCACACCAAAGAAATCTAGATTGATAAATCGCACTACAGGTAAGAGGAAAAATATGTATTGTTGATTTTGGGGTGAACTGTCCCTTTAAACTACTGGCCAAAAGGTCGTATGTTGGGTTCAATAAATATAGTGAGAAGTGACATTGGTGCGACACATTTAGTTCAGTTTGGTCAAGATACATGGACATACAGAAGAAGGAAACAAGGACGGTCCCTTTTCTTTTTGCAGCTCTGCCTCTTTTCACTAAACACTTTGTCTCAACACCTAAACCAAAGGAGCTTCTATAACTCAGCATTTTCGAACACAGCCTTTCTCCTTCTTTTCCAAATTACACTGCTAATCCGATGGATAGCTAATATGCGTCGACTGCTTGCACATCGAAACCTGTTTTCCAAATGCTCATGACTTCTTTTTGCTGCTGAGAAATTGCACCGAAAACAATTGAGAGCAGTGTGTGCACTTGGGCATATCTGTCTCAGTGCATTACCACACACAGATCAATAAGGATTCTATTCTTGGCCATTAGATCTCCAAGCAGGGGATAGCCTGCCTCTCTCACTCTTTCCTATCTATTCCCTCTCCCTGCCCGGCCTGTCCTCTCCGTTGGCTCTCCCGCCAACCTCTTTCTCCGCCCCCCTCCTCCAGACAACACCAAAGGGACATTGTCATCTTCCCAGCTGGACAGTGGAAGCAGCAGCAGAGTCAGTGGCGAGCATCAAACACGGGACAGTTTTAGGGGGGAATCACAGAAGTGATTGGCTTTATGGCTAGAGGGATCAGCCGTCTCCTCTAAGGATTCGTGCACGCACGCAGACATGTACGCACATATTCGCTCTCACGCGTGCACACATCCACACACACCTCCTGCTCCTGCTGTAATTCTCAGTCCTCTGCCACGCTGCCAGGCTGAGGCCCTTGATCTGCCACTTCCTGTAATCCTCCATGGGAGAAGGGGTGCAGCCAAATGTCCTGGCAGGCCAGCCAAGCAAACAAACACACACACATACAAAGATGAATGGACACAAGTAGCCGCGAGTCGCCACTAACTGCAAAAATAATGACCTCTAGGACACAGTTGTGAATCAGCGCAGGAGTCCCAGGATGTCTCTCACAAGACATGCAACCTGATAAAACTTTAAGTACATTAAAGAAAAACCCCACAAGCTGCAGCATAGCAACGCATAAAAAAAATATAATGGTGAAGTCTCCATTATGCCCCTTCATCTGTGCCACGCTGGTATCATTGTCATCAGATAAAAAGACAGGGCTGACTAAACAGCAAATGACAGGGGAAGAGAACCAGAACCAAAGAATAGATGGTTGACTCCCAATTCACCTTCCCCTGACTCTGATAAGACTCTATCTGATCCACATCACTCAAACACAAGAGATTCCTCTGTTCATTCAATTTCAAAGTGACCAGTTTCAGCCAGAAGGAACCATCTGACAAGATCATTTCACCCAAACTCTGGATAGTCTGAGGCAGAATGCGTTTTGATCTCAAACCTGATTGGTTACAGAATTCTTTTACACCACGAGTACTGCTTTTTTTTTTTTCCTTACTAAATTTACCCAGTGTGAAGCTCACAGGAGTAATGTACCAACCAGCAAGACATAAGCCCCATTAAGCTTATTCACCAGTTCCTGCATCAGCCCCGACAAAGTACTTTTAACAGAGGAGGGATTTCATCTCCTATTTTCTAATACATGTGTAGCACTGACAGAAACCACAGATTTCTTCATCCAAAGTACAGCAGCTGCTGAATCTGAAAATCTTTAGGAACATTCGGTCATCCAGAAAGAGATGTGCATCATTATCTCTTCTGTCCTCCCCAGTGTGTTTTTAAAGGAATACTCCACCCCCCAAATGACGAAAGAAAACTTTCCTTCACATGCCTTTGTTGAGCGAAGAATCCAAAAACTGAGAAAATTAGCAAATCGCCCAAACTATATCAAAACATCTGTTTACAAACTCTCACAAAACTCGTGCAGTGTAATCCAAGTCTCATTTATCAAGTCATATGCTCAGTTCTTCCCAAACAGACAGCCCCTTCTGACGAACTGAACTAAAAGGGAAACTCCATTGACGAAAACAGCAATTTTAGCCTGCTGAACACGGGAGCTGCTGGTCGACCACTGCCTCGATCAGTTAGCTTTTTTGTGTTATCATGTGACTTTAGTGAATCTGAACTAACCCTTTAAAACACTTAAGTCACACGATAGCACAAACAAACTAAACAATAAGGCAGTGGTCGATCAGCAGCTCCTGTGTTCAGCGAGGTAAAATTGCTGTTTTTGTCAATGAGTCTGGCTTTGAAGAGAGCATAGATAAGTTTCACTCTTCTGATCAGTTCCCCATCGGAAAGGGCTGTCTGTTTGCAAGCACGAGTTGTATAAGAGTTCGAACATAGATGTTTTGATATAGTTTTGCTGTTTTAAAACATGGACCCCTATGACTTCAATTCATCAAAAATTTTCTCCGTTTTTGGATTCTTCCTTCACAGTGGAGGCATGAGAGAAAATCAAGTTTTTCTTCAAAAATTCAATGTATTACCCAGTGAGTAAATTATATACAAATGATCATTTGGAGGGTGAAGTGCTCCTTTAAGAGAAGAAAACATTGCCTCCTCCACATGGAACACTGTCGTCTTTTTAGAAGTCTGGAAAACATGGCTGTGCAGAGTCTGTGCTCACTCGCCTCTGTCTGCGAGCTTCTCTGTATATATCCTCATCTCTCCCAGTGCAGGTGAAAGAGACTGAGTCACAGCCATAACTGCCAGCAGGTGGGAACGAGGGACAGCCAGGCGGACAGCTCTTCATCACGCCGTAATGAGCTGGCAAAGGTTGTCGGACAGGCATGAGAACACATGGAGGACCTGTAAAAGCAGCCTGACACAGGCGAGCTCGCGGGCGTTCTCCGCAGCTATATGACTCCCCGCGGTGCCGTTTCATCACAAGCTGTTGTCCCTGTTTGTGTAAACGTCCTCATATTGCAAGGAAGCCGACACGAGCTACTTCAACCACTTACTTCTGCAGCTCAATTGCGGCACATACTTCAATGTGTGGCTAAATGTGGACTTTTCAGTGGCATTTCTTGTGATTTAAAATGTGCGAGCGAGTGTGCAAAAGTGTGGCGATGTCAGTAAGAGCAGCTAAAATGGGGGAATTCAAGGGCTGCTGGATTTAGCTTGTTCTTGCTCTACGGCTTAAGCATTATCTTATCATGCAACAACATCTGGAGCTTGGAGTTGTTACCAAAAACTCTTCAGCATGCTCTAAAAATACCCTGAGACACCAGCAATGTGCATCAGCATCTGACTACGGCAGCTCAGACATCTGTTCACTTACCTGCTGCTGCCTCCCACGGATGCAGGGACCCGAAGGAGCTGCCACAGGCCACAGTCACCTATAACAATGACACGTGAAAGGATACAATCTGAGAGCTCCACTCTGGGTACCGATGGCCAGTATCTTCTGCACAGGGTCGAAAGCCATGGACGACGGCTGGTAGGGGAAGCCATGACGGACAGTCTGAGAGATGTGCGGAAAGACAGGGGAAAAAAAGAGAACGTGTTATCAATTTGAATTTCACAGCAGGGGTGTTGTTTTGTCAAAGGATATCACACACATGATTTCGGTAAACAAATAGTCCAGATGGATGCAGCGAGTGTTATGAAACAGAAATGTAAAGCCTGAAATTGCGCAGACAAGAGAAAACGAAGGAGAGGAACAAACGCTCTTTCTATGCACGGTTACTCTGTTCTTCGTGATAGCTGATATTTGGCTTCGCTATTTAGGATCCTTTTATAATCATGGGCCTATTTTGAGATTTCTTCTCTCCCATTTCACTCTTTTTTATCTCGTTTTCCTTCTCTCGCTGCCTCCCACATGGAGTCGTGATTACATTGAAGTCTGGGAATGAAGAACGCGGAAAAACACACCAATGAGGAGCATTTCATTATGATTTCTTGCAGGGCCTTCTATTGTAGGGCAATGTATTGTGAGGTGTTTCTGTTTTTCTGTCCACCCTCTGTATGCTTGTGTGTTTGCATGTGTGTGACTGTTGCTTTATGGCATCAGTCAGCCGGTGGTGGGCTGTTGGATTTGTTTGCTTTAGCGGCAGAAGGCTAAAGCACGTTACATAAGAAGCACTCAGTGCAGCAGAGACACCTGCCTTCTCCGCAGAGGAACATATTACAGAGAGTTTCTGTCCAGACAGACAGTGGAGGTGCAGCAGGGAGGATGGAGCCTTGTTCAAAGAGACTTCCATCAGATGCCTGGCTGCTGATAGACATATTTAGGCTACGGCATCAATCAAAACCTGCAATCTCTGAGCTAGTCTTCCCAAACACAATATCCCCTGAGCCCTTTGGGTGTGTTGACTTGACTCAAGATGATGTTTTCTAGTTATTACTTCAGGCACTCTAACTTATTACTTCTGGCAACTTTTCAGATGATTGCAGTTTTAGAAAGTTTATGTGCACTAGGCCTTGGATTTCTGCAGCTTATGTCAGTGTCTCTAAAACAGACAGTGTTTACTTCCAGAGGCACGCTGCCATGTAAAATAAGCCGAGACACTGTGGCAGAGCTAAAGGTTGTTATCGGAATTGTTTCCCAGAAAAGAAAAACTGCACATGCCAATATGTTAGAAAGTTATCAAAACCTACAAATACCTATTGATAACTTTACAGTTAAAGGTCCAGCATGTAAAAATTTGGTGGTATCTCACAGTGAAGTCACATAACTGAAACTTTTCCTGTGTGCCAAGCCTGTTGGAGAACTACAATGACCGATGCAAAAACCTGTTTGTTCGTGTTATAGCAGGAATTTACTGAATCCGAACTAGCCCCTTTAAATGGCAAAGTCACCCAATAACACAAACTAACTGATCGAGGCAGCGGTAGACCAGCAGCTCCTGTGTTCAGCGAGGTAAAATTACAATTTTTATCAATGGAGTCTGGTCTGAAGAGAGCAGAGATAAGTGCAGCTAAAGGGCTGTCTGTTTGGGAAGTACTAAGGATTTGACTGGATACATGTGACTTGGATTTCAGTGCACGAGTTTGAGAGTTTGTAAACTGATGGTTTTTTTATGTAGTTTTGTTGTCACTAAAGGTGGATCCCTATGACTTCAATTCGTCAAGACTTTTCTCTGTTTTTGGATTCTTCGTTCACAACGGAAGCATGCGAGAAAAACAAACATTCTCTCCACAAATTCAACGTAACACCAGGGTGGGTAACTGACATACAGATGGCCATTTGGGGGAGTTGAGTTAGGAGCAGAAAACACACTCGCGAAAATGCAAATGGTCCTATCTAGAGTGAGGGATTTGTCCGTTTTAGTCTGCTGTAGAAACAACATGGTGGACACTATGGAAGGGGACCCGCTCCATATGCTGATATACACGGCTCATTCTAAAGGTAACGAAAACACACTGATTTTTAATTTTAGGTGATTATAAATGGTTGAAAATAGATTGTTTTTTTTTTAGATATTTAGATAGAAAGATATTTTTAGGGCTTCTCAGCCTTTAATCGACAAGGCAAATGTTAACATGAAAGGGGGAAAGAGATGGGAGCTGACATGCGGGCACTGGCTCTACCAGGTGAGCTTAGTTCTGAATATTATATACCATTTCTGCCAATAGATGCCCTTAAATCCTTCAAAATGGACCCTAAAAAAACCTTAAGAAGAATCCAGGAAGAGTTGTGACTGTGCTGGTGGGGAAATCAATGGCAAGCACACAGTGATAACTATAAAAAAACAGCTACACCAAACCGTTTGGGACACACATGGGGAAAGCCTGATATAACATTATATGTAGCATATACTGCAGTGTGTCAGCTGCGTGAGTGTTTATTAACCCCATTCATTGTTGTGTGGCCGATTCAGACAGAAGAGGGCAAGCCATTTTTTTCTTTCAAACAAGCCCCTACTCCAGGCGCCATCAGTCCCCAATGGATCAATGATCTGGGGGTAAACTGTGTGTGTGTGTGCATGAGAGAGAGACAGAGAGCAAGAGAGAGGAGTGTGAGAGGTGTGTGCGTGAGAGAGAGAGAGAGGAGGGGGAAGAAGAGGATGGAGAGATACTGGAAGGAAAAGACAACGCAAAAGAGGTTCACACACACACACACACACACACACACACACACACACACTAACCAGAAAGCACCGTTTTGCTAATCCAAACCCAGCAGATTATGCAAGAGAGGATCAGTTTGGCCCAACCCTCGAAGTGATAGTTCATGCCAAGCACACATACAGCAAATGATGGTATTTCACAGAGGATAAAACACACATTACCATAACTGGGATATCTAGCTGGTTTGTGAAATTACAGGACAGATGCACAGAGGAACTTAGTCATGATTATTGTCCTGTCGCCAGAGCGCATTCGCCATACAGTATGCGCATTGTTAGGTATGTTACAGGCTGTCCACCATGGCTTCAGAGCGCTTTAATGACTCTCTTTCGTAATGGGATTCTTTGCAAATGTTAAATAAACCTTCACCCAGCAGGTGTAGTTTAGAATAAGACTACAGAGAAAATGCTTTGCTCGTTAATTAATGTGTGGAGCTCCCTTGCACCTGCTGTATCCTGTGATGGGATACGCGCACTGTGAGTAATAATAATTAAAAGATACATGCGACAGGGTGAGTAATAAAATCATCAGGCTTGCCCACCTTGCAGAGCTGGAAATGCTCGGACTGGAGGGTCTCCTGGATCAGATGGTTCTCCTGTGGCCCCACTTGGACAGACGGGGTGGATGAGGACACCTCTTTCAAGCCGTCCAGCACCTTCCTGATGTTGAACTTCTTCATTTTCAGACTGCAGAGCACAGAATTGAGATCACCCGCACAAGATAAAGGGGGATAGCCACTTTCTCTCTCTCATGCACACACGCACACACACGCGCGCGCTCTCTCTCTCTGTCTCTCCTCTTGTAAATCTCACATTTTTAGTGCTTGGTTTTTAGCGCAGTCTCCATGCTGGAAGGGCTCTGGCGCGCCACCGCACAGGTTTCGGTTCTTGACGTGTAGGATTTGGGGGGAGACGGGCTGCTGCCGTGATGTTGGTGCGTCGGTGCAATTTGCTCGGAGTCCGTGCTGTGTGCCCCCACTGCGTCTCGGTGGCTCCGCTCCTTCTCCTCGGCTTCCCTCCCCTCCCCTCTCGGCTGTGTGCGCCGCTCAGCCAAGGCGGAAACGCAGCGCCGCGGTGGTGTCGGTGCTGCTGCTGCTGCTGCTGCTGACGCTCTTGCGCATGTCTGACAGAGCACAGGCTTCAACACAAATCCCGCCACCTTGCCAGCCCCCTTTCTCTCTCTCCTCCTTTCATCTGCCCCCAGCGACAACGCCCCCCTCCCCTCCCTCCTCCTCCTCCACCTCTTCCTCTCGCACGCACACACATAGTAGGTTTTGCTCCACTGCACCTGGTGATGTTGGGATGCTGCGGCGTTGTGAGTGTCCGTGGAGACAGACGAGCAGACAGGCGGGGGCTCAGTCCCATTCTTTCCACTACATCCACTCCGCCTCTGCTTGTGTGCTTGCGTGGAAGGATCGCCATATTAAAGGCCATCCCAAACCATAGTGGAGAGTTGGCTATAAAAGCCTTGCTGTGCTGCACTGGGGAGTTGGAAAAGGGAGAAGAAAATGTGGTGCCATTAAAATAAAACAGGCATGCATTTTTAAAAACCCCACCACACAGGCTGAATAATAAAGCACTCTGGTTTGGTTTTATTGTTTGGTGGTGATATGTATTTGCAGGGAAACAGCAGCATAGAGCAGCCCAACAGCTGAGCAAGCAATGCATCTATCAGTATCCATGGTGACGGCTGTTTCCTGCTAATGGTGGAGTCCCACAGTTCACCTGTTATTTATACCCTCCCTCTTAATATGGAGAACCCTCCACAGCTGCAAGTGTGACTTCATGCGGGAGTAACACTCCATAGTGAAGAGCGACTGAGGAGGGAAGGGTTTGGGAAAGGCCCCTGTGTCTGCCAACCAGGTGACATTAGGTGTTCCCCCTGACATCAAATATCAAAGGAGGATGTGTTGTTTTAAAACCTCGCTGCTGGCCCTCAATGAGCTCAGGACAATGTGTCTGTGTTGTTCATCCAACATTCAAAACAGGTGGTTCTGCAGACATGCTCAGCTTGGTTAACAGTAGGTACAGGAAGCTATGCTGCAACTGTGTTATGTGCAATAATTCTGCTATTATTTTCTTCTGCTTTGCAACTAGAATTAGGGTATAAATCCTTTAAATTCAAAACTATCTTGTGTGATCTTGTCTCTTCTACAAGCACTTTGCCACCAGGTGGATATATTGGAGGACAGCATGGTGGTGTAGACAGACAACACTGCTGCCCCAGAGCAAGAAAGTCCTAGATACAAATCCAGAACCCTGTGGAGTTTGCATGCTCTCCTCATACCTGTGTAGGTGTCCTCTGGTGGTTCCAGTTTCCTCTCACGCTCCAATGATATGCAGATCTGGTGGCACACAATTGCCACAGGTGCTGACTTAAAAGCACCACAAATGAAAACAAGCACAAAACACACAAAACAGCATCAAGAAGATGCAAAACGGCTGCAAAGACACACAGAGACTCACAACTACTACGGAAAGCAGCAAAACAAGCACAAGCAGAAACACACAAGGATGACAAAAAGATGTAAAGCAGCTACAAAGAAATTAAAAATGACTACAAAGAGACTCAAAATGACCACAAGGACACATACAATGACTACAAAGAGACACAAAATGACCCCAAAGAGACACAAAATGACCACAAGGACACATGCAATGACTACAAAGAGACTCAAAATGACCACAAAGAGACACAAAATGACCACAAGGACACACAAAATGACTAGAGACAAAAAAAGGCCACAATGACACATAAAATGACTAGGAAAAAGAGACTCAAAATGACCACAAAGAGACACAAAATGACCACAAGGACACACAAAATGACCATGAGGTGACACAAAATTACTACAAAGAGACACAAAATGACCACAAGGAGACACAAAATGACCACGAAGAGACACAAAATGACTACAAAGAGACTCAAAATGACAACAAGGAAACACAAAATGACTACAAAGAGACACAAAATGACCACAAGGACACATGCAATGACTACAAAGAGACTCAAAATGACCACAAGGACACATAAAATGACCCCAAAGAGACACAAAATGACCACGAGGAGACACAAAATGACCACAAGGACACACAAAATGACTAAACAGAGACAAAAAAAGGCCACAAGGACACATAAAATGACCCCAAAGAGACACAAAATGACAACAAGGAAACACAAAATGACTACAAAGAGACACAAAATGACCACAAAGAGACACAAAATGACCACGAGGACACACAAAATGACTACAAAGAGACACAAAATGACAACAAGGAAACACAAAATGACTACAAAGAGACACAAAATTACCACAAAGAGACACAAAATGACCAAGAGGAGACACAAAATGACTACAGAGACTCAAAATGACAACAAGGAAATACAAAATGACTACAAAGAGACACAAACTTACCACAAAGAGACACAAAATGACCAAGAGGAGACACAAAATGACTACAGAGACTCAAAATGACAGCAAGGAAACACAAAATGACCACAAAGAGATGCAAAATGGCTACAAAAGGCTGCAAAACGATGGCAGACAAAAAAACTACACAGGGACACAGAGATGCATAACTACTACAAACAGATGCAAACAGCAACAAAAAGAAGGTTAACAACGACAAAGCCTGTGTGTCTAGCTCCTGTGTAGGAGAGATGGTGGGACCTTCTCCATGTCTTGAACCCAGGGACCCACTGTCTCATAATGTGTCCATGTGTGCACCACCTCTTCCCCAATTTGATTTGAGCTCCAGACCATCGCAGCTTTACAAAGCACAGGCAGGTGTTAGACTGCATGTTTCATATCATATCAGTGTTTCTAAAGTGGTGTAGTATATGAGCTGACTTTGTCATCTGGAGCTGCAGACCACTGTTCAAGACCAAGAAACAACAGAATGGGTTTTGATTTAGCGAGTCATTGCTGTGTTTCCAGCGCTTTCTGGACAACAACTGTGGGTGTTTTGAAGGGACTGTCCCTGTTTTGTTCAGCAGGGATAGTGATACGATTATTGGTTGATTTTTACAGAGATAACGCTGCATTCCCCACCGGGATAGTGGCCTGAAAACACTGGGCTCAGGTCATGAGCTCTCAGGCTAAAATTAAGAGAAAAAAAAAACCTTTATGTGTGTCTCCACTTGACGTGACCTTCCGAAGGAAAAGAAAGGACTGGAGCACACTGATTAATTTGCTTCCTTTAATTGTGCAAACAGATTAACTCCTGAACCCTCAGGCTGTGAGCTACCTGGATTAGCTTCTCCCCCTCAGCCCAACTTCACCCCTGGATATGTTTCCCCTCAGAGCTCGAGCGAGTTGAGTTCAGACCCTCGGTGCAGCTGTGTATGTTTGTAAGGTCACAGATGAAAGTACGAGGCCTGACAAGCTCAGCTGAGGCTGCTCATGCTTGAGTGACACTGACGTTGCCACCTGTTTGGGCTGTTTGCTAACACGCTCGTCTTCGACAGGTTGCCGCCGGCAGCGGGGACAGGGGTGCAGCGGCGGAAGTAATAGCTGTGTTTGTGCTCTTGCTAACAACACCTGATGCCAACTCCGTCCCAGCCTGGAGAAAGTCCAAAAAAGGGCATTTCTGTGTCCACCATATCTGCACATTGGAGCTTCTCTGCATGTATCTCCACGTAAGCAGCCCTTTGTTGAGACGCAGCTGATATATAACGGATGCATCAAGGAAAGGAAGATGCTATTGAATGAGAGGGCACAAAAAGATATGAAGAGGGCCAGGGAGCAAATTATTAATTCAGTAATCATACCAGGGTGGCTTGAGAACAATTGTTGCGGCGCTGATTTGCATAATGAACTGAAATTGACCATACGCACCTTCCAACCCCAACTGATATCGCCCGATCCAGAATACATTACACGGGCAAACAAAGAGGTCCTTATTAGTCAATCCTTGCATGTGTGAGTGAGTGAGTGATGTTGGAGGGGAGGGCTTTTGGCGATTCTGACATCAGTGATTTAATTTAGCACCATTGTGTTGCGGCCGGGCCATTCATCTGCCTGCATTGTGTGTATGTGTGTGTGTTGTGTTTTGAGTCTGACTGCTGTGTTTGTGCTCTTTGATAAGGCTTTCCACTGAGGCAGCGCTGTATTAGTGTTTTCTTTCTTTTTGTGTGTGTGTGTGTGTGTGTGTGTGTGTGTGTGTGTGTGTGTGTAAAGGTCCAAAGTGGAAACACAGAGAGGGGGATGGTCAAGCAGAGGTGATATGGTTCTATTTGTTCATTTGACCAGTGTTTGGTCTTTATAACACACAGTTTAAGGTTGATTTCATGTCATAAGCTTTTTCGGAATTTTGCTGTGCTTGTTAATGTTAGAAATGAGAGATTAGAGTAATGGAGTAAAGCTTACGTGCAAGCATTGTAAAGTAGGGCTGCCCCCTAACACTCGACCAAACGTCAGAAAGGTCATTAGTCGGTAAGATTTCATCGGTCGCTTAGTCAAAGAAAAAAACAACATTAAACTCTATTAGGAGCTGCACCATGTCAAAATAAATCAAAACCTTAATTTGAAAGGACAGACACAGGAAGTGGCCATACTCAGCAGTCAGACAGGAGTCGCGTTACAAACCAATCACAGTCGACAGATATCTTTCTCTTCTTCTGTAAAAATTCAGTCTGATCAATACGGAAAAGTTGATCATGTTAGTGCAGGGCTACCCAGAGCTTTACATCTGTCCCACGGACGATAGATCTCATGTTTTTAAGGGGGTTAAAGATGCGGCACCTGATTTCCAGGGCTGGTACCTGCGGTTATTCCACAGGCTAGTTAATAACATGTCGAGCAGGAAATCTAAAGTGTGGGTTCATTTTGAGAAGGTGAAGGACGAACCCAAGGTGATATGTAAACTTGTCTTCATTGGTCGACTACAAACATGACGTATCATCTGAAACATGTCAGTAGCTACATGCCCATTAGCCACTTAGCACAATCATTACTGCTTTGCCGACAGCGTCATTAACAGGCGGCTCGCTCAGTGTGTGACGTGCACTTGTAGATAAAATATAGGCCTATGTTAATGAAGGTTCATTAGTACGGTTTTGTATTTCTCTGTAATGTAGCACAGTGTTAACAATGTTACTGATACTATTCTTTCTCACACCTTCAACTCAAAC